CAAACAACTACAATACTGAATGAAGAACGATAAAAACATACAGGAAGGCATCATTAATAAAGGAAAACTGTAAGCTATGCCTTACAAATACAGAAGTAAGTTGTATTAGGAGGTATAATAGAGTGCTAGCAATGGTTTATTTCTTTATCAAGTTGATGTATACAAACCTGTTTAAGTTATAACCAACTATTCTTTAAACTGTACATTTTATATAGTATTTTGTTAGGGGAACATAACTACTATAATACAAAAACAATTTTATGCATTTTTGTATATAATATAAACTTTAGATTTTTATCTCTCAATAAAATTACCTTGAAACGTGATAATATGAATAGATCTTTATTTCTTGTTTTTATTTTGAGACAGGGTGCACTTGCTGTGCACTTGCTGTGCACTTTAAGATGGCCTTGGATGCACTGTGTAACTCAGGTTGACCTCACACTGACTGTGATCCTCTTGCCTTAGCTTTGTATGCTGGGATGACAAGCATGCATCACCATGCCGTAATAAATGTTTGAAAACATTTTTTATGGCATAATAAATAAATGTTTTAAAACCCACAAATACAAAGGTAAGCAGGCTCAATATTCTGAGAGCACTTTGTCTTGACAATCAGTGGGAAGTTGCTGAATGGCTGATAGAAAGATACAATCAGAATTGCATCTTAGAAGACTATATGGAAGTAGAATGGAAATAACACTGAAATCAGGGAAGCCTTGGGAGAGGCAGTTGTTAAAATCTGAGAGAGAAAAGATTCTAGCCTAGATTGAGGTGGCAGAAGTGAGGATGGAAAAAGGTGGTACAAATCAACATACGCTAGAGGTTTAAAACATACAAAACCAAAATACAATGAGTAGATATAGCGGGCGAGGAGATAGAGTCAAGAATGATGCAGAAGAAGCTTAAATACCATATGGCATCTTTCATTTGAGTAAGGTAAAGTGTAAGTGAAAAGCAAAATAAAGGACTGAGAGAAGGACGCAGGGAGATACTGCAGATCTTTGGCAAATGGACAGGGGTTGAGCAGATGAAGGGTTAGGGACAGGGTAGAGGGGAAAGGGAGGTTAAAACTTTAAGACGTGTTATATACATGTAGCAAACCCACAATGAATGTAAACATGTGGCAAACATGAACTAAAAATAATAATAATGAAAATAGGTAAAGGAAACCTAAAAACAGAGAGAGATGGGGAGGGAACAGAATGGGTATAAAAAAGAATCTAGATGTGTTATGTATATGTACCTACTTGTTTAGATGAATGTAAACTTCATGCACTGCAAACATGTACTAATAAAAAAAGAAAGATGTGTAGGTGTGTGGCTTGCCTGCCTGGAAGGATGCTAGTAACACTAACCAAAATAGGAAATATGGGGAAAAAAGGATTGTGGCTATTTCATCACTATGTACTGGGGAAGCATCCCAATACTGTTCTAGGTATTGAAGGGAGGGTAATGAATTGAAGTCCCAGATCCCAGACTGTTTATAATCATGTAGTGACAGTGAAAAAGTACCCAAAAAGTAGCCCTCTGAATTTGAATTTAGAGTATAGCCAAGCTAGCAAAATAAACTTTTACTTTAGCCAGTACTTTCTTTTTAATTTTTTGGCAGAACTAGGAATTGAACTTAAGCCCTTGCACTTGCCAGGGAAGAGCTTATTCTACTGAGCCATTTCCCCGGCCCCTTAGGCAGTACTTTCAATAACAAGCATTAAAAGGGATTCCTAGTGCATCTGGTTAAATTACTCAGAACCCTGACTTTAGCATTTCTAAAAGCTTTAAAAAAACTAAATTTCTTTACTAATTGGGTTAAACAACTACACATTTACAAAGCCCTTGCTTTGTACATCGTTTCCACCACACACTGCTGCCATCTTACGTTAAAACAAAGAACTACACCGTGAACAATTCAACTCTAAAATGTGAATATCAAAGTTAAAATTAAGAGCCTACCAACACAGAAAAAATTCTACGAATTATTTAATGACAGAACATACTTATTACTTATAATAACTAACTTTCCTGTTTGTAAATATTCCTGAAAAAAAAAATAGAAGATCCTGGTCATAATCTGCAGCAAAATCATACTTTGAGACAATAGGAAGTGACTACTTGAATTTTTCCTATCAAAAAAGATAAAATTAGGGCTAGGGAGATAGCTCAGCAGTTTAAGTGCCTGCCTGGCAAACGCAAGGACCCGGGTTCGATCTCCGGTACCGCATGCTGTGCTGGTCCCCACCATGCTGGCCACCAAAACCAGGCGCACGTCTGTAATCCCAGCGATGGGGAGGCTGAGACAAGAGGATCACTA